ATGTCTCACGATAGTTATTATGGAAACATAAAAAGTGCACATAAATATGTAGCAGCAAAGTTAAAAAGAACATTCATATGCACCCGACCTCTGTACCCAGAGTTCCACGTGAAACTTACCGAATTAATTAACGTAAATTCATCAAAAGTGCTCAAAAGAAGTGGTCCGCCTCAGGCCAGTACAGACACCGGCAGATCAACCAACACCACTGTATCAATTTCTTTATTCAATTCTCAACTTTATCGTTTTGATATAAAGTCGAAAATCCAATGAAAGAGATGGAATGGTGGAGCTTGATGTGCTGGTGTCTGTACATAGTTAAGGAAGTATGCGCAATGGCCGACCTCTCTTGTGCTCTAAATTGATTCCGTGCCCCAAGTGGCCCTTTGTTATCGACCAATAGGTAATGGAGCAGTGCTTACACAACGCTCACTATGAAATCTATGAATATTCTAGACGTCATTTAATTTTCTAAAGAAAGGCTTGCATAGATAGGTACATGTTGTTATATCATCGACGGCCAAAATTAATGACCGATCTCAAACCACATTCGATTTGAATTGAATTTCTGTCAAAAACGATCCAGAGATTTCGATTATTAATTCTGGCCGTCAGATTATTATAAGTAAATAAGGATTATGAAGTCATTACATTATTACATTGCTAAAACCGAGTACCTACTTATGACTAAGTTTTAGATAAATTAGAGGTAGATAGTGGATAGACAATAAAGCATTTACATTTACAAAACATACGTACAAAATAAAACCAACATAATATTTACATACATTAACTTCAGTGAAGTCATTATATTGTTCTAAAAAGGTGCTCGTTACACCAAAACAACTAAATTAACAACTCACACACCAAAATTTGAGGAAATAAATAAACCAATCAGATTTACACTGCACCCATTAAACAAGCTATCAAAATCGACAAAAAAAGAATGTCTAACAGTAACTACCGGTCGAAATTCAATCAAAATTTCACGTGAAATGACCGAATACTGGATTCCGATTCGAGGACCGCACAGCCGAATCGTTTTTCAAGATCCGAACCCATTTAAACCACAATACCGGTAATCGGGTGGTGACCATTCCGGTCAAAATTACGTTCACAACCACTTTCGCGACCCCACACTTCACTGGAGAGCTATACTTTTAAAATTGATTTATTTTATTTATATATTTTATGACGTTTAGGGTTCGGAACTCGAGACTCGAGGTGACCCCGCAATTAGGTACACAATATAAATAGAAGCCCTTCAAAGTGTAGGTCAAGAATAAATTGTTGACAATATTATCAGAAGTATGCATAACGCATCAAAAATTAAATGTATGAAAATTAAGGAAATAAGTTACTCGTTGGCCAGATGACCCGGTAGGTCCAGGTCTCGCGGATTTAACAAGATTGTACTTGGTATTTATTAACTTTAACTACAGGTCAGAATATCTTCTTACATTGAGAAGGCCAACAGGCATTAATGAGCACCAAATCAGGTGAAAATAAACATCAATATTGAAGTTAATTTACTAAACAGAATAAAAGTCAAAACAGGAACTCACAACAACAAAAGAACGTGAATTTCAATAAACCTTAATCCCAGACGTTTAACATTTAAAGTACATACCGAGTCGACCGCAAATCGAATAATAAATAAGCAGCAAAAATATGGGAATCTTTTATCTGTATCGGCTGAAAGCTGTCATTGGAAACGACTCGATACGCCGCACGAATTACCGGCGAGGTGGAAAAATCAGACATGGTCTCGGTACCGCGGCCTCCTCAAAATAAAATCTCCGATTCACGCCCCAGTTACCCGACCGGAAGATTCGCCATTCATTCCGTTCACATGTGTTTACGCTACGAATCCGGATGTATTCGAGCGCGATACGCCTGCAATCTTCGCCTTTTAGCTAGATTATTACTGTTTCTGTGGCCGGTTTTATGCTTTATAGTTATGATGAGGATTTAGTGAGCTTTTGATTAATCTACATGACATTTTAATCTTGGAGTATTTTTTTTTCGCGAAGTTTTTGAATTACGAAGAGTGAGTTTAGCACGTAAGTTAAAATTTCGACTGCATATAAAAAAATTGGTAGCATGATAAACTGGCTTATACCAGTCATCGTGTTGGCACTAAAAATATCTATCAGTATGATCACAATAGCACTGTCTATCCATCTATTGCGTATACAAAGAAATAAATAGTAAATGACAAAGGAAATGTATTATTTAACTTTCGACATACGGTCTAGTTCGAAATAGATTCGACGAACCCTTGCGTTACATATTGTTTTTACGAGTAGTATACTATCAAACGGTTTACGACCACCCGTCCCAGCCTAATCGAGCAACTACAATGGTAATCAGAATCCGATTCATTTACGATCTCATTGTCTTTACATAAAAATAAACTTATTGGAATGGGCGAACATTCTCCAAGTTTTCTCTACGACTACTGTTATCTAGAACTGTGTTGAACTACAAAATAGCTATATATTCTATCAGGCAGTTATATATTTTAATATTTGTGGGCCGGTCACGTTTGACTGTTAGCCGAGTGGTCGCAAGTGCGACTTCCGGGCTCGGTTTCGATTCCCGGGTCGGGCAAAGTATTAGTGGGTTTTTTACAAATTCTCACTAGCACGGATTGTGCCTTGTATATGGCAATAGGCTCACCCCCTATTACATGGGACTCATAACATAAATAGTGAAAAGTGGGTATTACACAGTACAGTGGCATAATGTGCACCTCTGCCTACCCCTTCGGGGATAAAAGCTGTAATGTTATTTGTGGGCCGGTCACATTTGTCTAATAACGATGACCTTTAGTGGCGATATCCGCTGTGTGGCTAGTAGTGATTGGATGGGTGAAGCTGATGATCGAGTTCGGTGGCGTTCCATTGAACAGGTCAAGAAGTAGACGAAATGAGCTGATGATGTTGATGATGATGATATTCCACCACACACACAGGTTAAAGCGTTTAGGGTCTTCTTGTAAATACCTACTACATGAAACAAGAAATTCATGCTTTAACACAAATTAGAAAGAAAGTTGTTTCAAATCTGTTATATATTTTCAATATCATCATCAACAGCCTATATGTGCCTATTGCTGAGCAAAGCCTCTATTCACACGGAGAAGGTTTGAGCATTAATCACCACGCTTACAGCTGCAGCAGTAGGCATTTGGCATAGTTGGCATCATTATTGCATTTTCAATATATAATACAATAATTATTTATTGTGTGAATTAAACAAGCTAGTCAGAGACATACCTATATTTCTGTAAAAACAAAAGAACATAAATAGCTTTCCCTATTGAAAGTGGCCAGCTTGCCACAGATAACATAAACATAACCAAAATCCAACGTTAAAATTAAATCTCTTTCAATAAATGCCAATTCTGTGGTACATAATACATTATTATCTATTTGATACCACACAGAACATAGATTAATACAGAATATGCTAACAATTCGCTCCATTACGCAGCATTTGCATTCCTGGATACTACAGTAGCTAATCTGATGCAATGTAAGCCAGGTGAGCGAGGTCAGAACCCTCTGCCTAGTTTGATAAATGTTTTATAGCGAATGTTATTTTACTCACTTACTTCCTAATTCTCCACTTAAATCTACTTATGTAATTATTTATTCTTATTTACTTATTATAATTTTGACTTACTTAGATACAAACACCTAATTAAATACAATGAAAACTTTATAATGTAGATACAATTTGTGAGTCATTGGTTTTTATTGTAACTGCGAAGAACAAAGTTCTAAATGAAGTATCTGAAATGTACTCAGAATACAGTAATACATATTATTATGTGATTACAATTAGGGGTCCCGTTTTACTGCTATCTCGCCTGGCTATAAGCAACCTATTCACCTGGGTCTTGAAGACGGCAGAGTGGCAAAGAATTTCACTACTTAACGGTTCTAAAGAGAGCAATTGTCGAAAGTGAATGCTGTCTCTTTCTGCAGTCGAACAAAATTTTCTTAAATAAATAAATAACTAATAACCCCTTTTTTTGAGGGAGAAAAATCATCCAATGACTTCTCCCGCCCGGGTGAGGCGAGAGGGAGTGTCAGACTTACTGATTAAGAAACGGACTCGAAGCCGCAGTCCCGGCAGGCCGTTAAGTCCTCCCCTAGCATTCACTAACAATATTTGCAATCACAGAAAGCAATGCAAGTCATTTAGAGAAAATAATAATATCGAATAATCTATCCACGTAATAAGTCGATGTCACCACACTACAACCGTATTTCGCAGGACGGTCTCGCCGGAAATTACTAGCGGCGATGGATTCCGCCGGACGGCCGGGCCGGTTACGTACCGTACGTCTAAAACGCAATAAGACTCGGCGATACATGGTCGGTAACCGACCGCGATGTATCCTAAATATCGCATGGGAAATGTTATTAAACGTGAGGCCGACATGTTTACTTGCTAGGGAATTAGTGAATAAATGATGCTGTTATTTATTTCTTTGTCTTTTATAAATTTGTTGCTTTTCTTTTTCTACTCTCAAGTACCGAATGGTTATAACGACAGTTGTTAATTGGTAGACCTTGGTCAGGCCCAATCGCTGATGAGTATAATAATAGATTCGTTGTTTCGAAAATCGAATGAATCGAAATTAGATTTGAATTTCGAATTGGGCTCTATGTGTGGTTTTCTTTTTTTATTATATAAGTTTATATAAAACCTACACTTTAGATTACAGCCCCGCAGCAATAGGTTTTGTAAAATAAATCAAGTAAGGAAATAAAAACCAAACAAAGTTCACAACCAAATCCCTTAATATAGGTCGTTGAACTAATTAACAAATGTATGAAACTGATTAACTTTACATAGAAATCATGTGTTTACAATACAATGAACTTTTACGAAACATGTCTGCCGACCCAGTTTACAAGCGCCCATATCACCCATTACTTGCATTATTTGAAATTCTAATTATTTTATTACTTCCCTATATATACCAGGACGACAGGAATAGGAAATCAGTGTGTGTTCAACATTTGTTCAAATAAGATCCCTTTAAAAATATAAGGAGGAGGTAGGTCTAATAAGTTATTTTTTTATATATTCCCATTTGAATTATATTTTTATTTAAATCGTAACATAATATTCTAGAACAGTGTAAAAACATAATATATTAAGTTCCTTTTAAATCTTTTTAAATTAATTTACATTATACTCACATTTTATTATTATTTTTACTTACTTAACTCGTCGAGTACCGTCTTTATAGACACAATTATAGGTTGCGGTCACCGGTGACCGCTTGGTGTTTGACAGTTTAAATCATAACATTCTAGTACAGTGAAAATATATAATTAATTCACAAACACGTGTTAACTTTTATCGAAGTTCATAGTGAACGCGTTCGAAGTGTGTAGCTTTGTAAGGAAAATGTCGTGTTCTAACATAATCCTTCAAATATAGTAAATTCTTAGTAAAACTCGTGTCCAATACATGCATATAGTATCTACGCTTTTACTAAGAAAATCCATATTAATGAAAATGTTTCCTAGAAAATATTTTTCTTAGAAAATATTCTCTACCGTTTCGCTATACCTAAGCCAGAAGATTGAAAAGTGATTACCTAGGTGTTCCTTTTTACTCGGAACTAACCAAACATAACATCACGCCTTTTATCCTTGAAGGGGTAGGCAGGGGTGCACATTACGGCACTAAATGCCACTGTACAATGTAACACCCACTTTTCACTATTTGTGTTATGAGACCCATGTGAGCCTATTGCCATACACCGGACCCATTTCCAGACCCCGTGCTACTTCGAATTTTTTTTAAAAAACCCTGTAGTACTTTGCCCGACTAGGCAGTGGAGTCGAGGAACTAACCAATTACCTCCTTGAACCAATATTACTATATCTTCAATGAATTCAAACTAACCAAGAACAATGTAAGAAAAACTTTATTTGAAATCCTTAATGAGGTAATCAAATGCATCTGCCGGTCTAACAAGTGCAATTATAAGTCTGAACAAGTTTGAACTTCGTAGCTATCCAACAAGGCTAAAGCTATTTAATTGTATCGCTAAGTAGGGCTTTAAATCCTTCAAGTCTAGATTTTTTCTTAGAAATTCATCTTACAATGTAATTCGGTATAAAATGGGCGATGTAAAAGAAAAGTTCCCTTTCAATTATTTGCGTTGTTTTCGTATATGATTGTTAGTTTACTTACTTACTATTATTAGAGATCGTTTTAGAAAAGTATACTTGTTCTAGCTTCGTTAAAATAAAGCTATGTACTTACCTACTTATTTTTAGTGGGGTAAAATGCTTAAACTTACAAACACCAAGCGGTCACCGGTGACCGCAACCTATTGTTCTATAATTGTGTCTATAATGACAGTACTCGACGAGTTAATAGACGTCGTTCTCATTTTGTAGCTGTAACATTTTTTTCAGTTTTTCATATTTTGTATCTAATCTAACATTTTTTTTTATCAAAATACAGTCTAACGTCAGCTACTAACTTGCTTATGATATTTTTTTTATTAACACAGATCATGCCTCCTCAAGTGGATCCCGTGCCCAGCGGAGTAGTCTTCGAGTCCGACACGCAAACTTCAGACTTAGGGCTAGCGAAAGACGTGTCAGTATTAAAAAACGCAAGACCTAGGAAACACGAGTATGTGTGGTTCAACATATTTTGGTTCTTATATCTCCATATCGCGTCACTTTACGGATTATATCTCGTCTTCACCTCGGCTAAATGGCAAACTAATGTTTTTGGTAAGTACCTTCATAAAAACCTATTTTTTTTTTGTTCTAATTTTATAGACTAGTCGACTACTTAACTGCCTTAACTACTAACTTTCTTAAAAGTTTGTAAGAGCTTTTCTAATAGTTCTTTAATTGATCTTGGTCAAAAATAAATTATTGAATCATTTAAGTATTTACGTAATCACTACATACTATAAAACAAAGTCGCTATCCGCTATCTGTCTGTCCATATGTATGCTTAGATCTTTAAAACTACGCAACAGATTTTGATGCGGTATTGAGATAGAGTGATTCTTAAGGAAGGTTTATATGACAATGCAAATGGCATTGCACCCGTGCGAAGCCAGGGCGGGTCGCTAGTACAAAATAAAATAAATTATACGTTTTACCTATTCTATAACAGCCACGCAGTGTGCTAGAGTCTGCATCACCTAGATCCATAATCCTTTCCAATCTTACTCCAATACTGCTTTTATATATTAATGTATTGTTTCTTTCCAGCATTTGCCGTCCATTTAATGTGCGCCATTGGTATTGGTGCAGGATCTCATCGTCTCTGGACACACAGGTGTTTTAAGGCCCGCACTCCGCTACGTATAGTTCTTATGCTATGGCAGACTATGGGCTTTCAGGTAGGCAGCTTAGCTATATGTAATTCATCCCTATAGGACTAAAAGTATTTGCCGAATCATACCTATGCTGTTCAGGTCTCTGATGTAACCCCGAACCGTCGAAACTACACTTTGGAACAAGTAATTTAGAGGACAATTCAATTTTTGACGTTTCAAAATTGCCTAACTATGGATTAATTGAAATAAATGCTTTGACTTTGTACAGCTGTAGGTACTCAGTATTATCGAAGTATCGATTTCAGAAATCAGGAATTAAGTTTCTTAAACAGTATTCAATAAATACTGTCTTTTAACTTACCTACATGCCTATAGAAGATACTTTTAGGCAGTAGAAATTCTAGACATTTTCAGACGACTAAAACTTTTTCCAACCTTTGCAAAGTTTGCTTACTTACCCCAACTTACCCGTACCTTCTAAGGTTCATTTTCCACTGAAAAAAAGAAAATGATAGGTATATTATACCGTTTAGTTAAGAGTTTGTTTGTCTATCGTACCTAAATGAGAATACTTAGACATCAAAACATAATATGCTCCTGTAAATGCTAATAATATTGTCAAACCAGACTCTCAAGAGAAGGGCGTTTGCACAAATCATTAGCAGTGCTCATCAAGTTTAATTAGTGTTCTATAGGTAGGCACTGTTACATTAAGTGCTGTTGACTTAGTTTATGTAACGGGTAGAGTGTAATAGGTACTTGACACGTTGAGTGAAGTTCTTAGCCATTACGTACTTACTATGTGAAATTTGTAAACGCACTCACGCACAGAAAATAATTAGTATTTCTATGTACCCACGACACGGAGAAAATCCTAAGACAATCCAAGTGTGGAGCAATGCTTTTTTTAATTAGATACTGTCTTGGTAAAGAAGATACGTATTCCAAGAATTAAATGAAAAATGTAAAGCTAATCAAAACCCGTCGTATTCTTCTTATTTACAAAAAAAACATAATTATGAAAAAAAAATCACCTCCAAACCGTTTTTAAGCCACACTTTACATCCACAACGCATTAAAATTCCTCCCATTTTCCAGGTGTTAAAGTAATTTCGTTAATATTCCAAACATTTTATCATTTCCATGTACCAGGACTGCATATTCGAGTGGGCACGCGACCACCGCACACACCACAAGTATGCAGACACTGACGCCGACCCCCACAATGCGGAGCGGGGCCTCTTCTTCTCACACATGGGCTGGCTATGCTGCAAAAAGAGCCCCGAAGTTATCGAAGGAGGAAAACGAATTGATCTCACGGATTTATATGCCGATCCCGTTGTTATGTTCCAGAAAAAGTAAGTTAAAAAGTATATAGAAATAATGTTTCGACGCAATATTAAAAACCGTATTGAGTAAATGGATCTCAAGCGCTGAACAATCAATGTGTACCAGCACGTTCACAATATGTCACCAGTAGATAAATTATAGTCCGCTTCTGTCCATATAGGCATTTGCTAGATAAACCTGAAGGTTTATTTGATCGAAAAAATATTAGAACTACAACGAAAAGAAAATCCTTATACGAAAATACTGTCCCTACAAATACGGGTCATATTACTACGATTATCTAATATCCTCCAGAATTCTCTGCTATAACTGAAACCATAAGTCTCCCAGAGTGGTTGTCGCCGGTTCTGTCTCCAATATATTTATACGTACGCTTACAAAAGCCACTGGTGTACTGGGTATTAAAAGAAAAGCAAAACATATTTTTCTAAGACTTGTCTTTTAAATGGAGGGGGTTAAATAAAGAAACACGACTAACTGAAGTCTGTACCACCCACACTGTTCTCGGAAAGTTTAAGTTAAATAACATTTATTCTCGTGTAGTTTATGTCCAGTGAAAAGCGGAGGTTTTCATTTTATCAGCGCACGTCCCTATTTCAAAAAGCGTTATGCCGGGAGCACTATGAAGTGAGAAACAAAGTTGGTGTCAGCATAAATTTAAACTTGTTTTTACGTTGAAATGTTGATAGTCTGCCGGAGTTGAAGGTTGCGTGTTGAAAAATGTGAGCCTCGTCATTTTTATGTCAGAACACGTTCCTTTAAATATATTGAGGCTCAGTTCCAGATGGATGGTAATTTGAATATCGGTGTGTGTCATGCCTAGAGATTCATTACTGTATCAGGTTCTAATATTAGGAATCTTTTAACCTATGTATGTTGATGTTATTTTAAACTGGCCTTCACTAGCAAACCCTTTTCCAACAGGCACTACATGAAAATGATGCCGCTCCTGTGTTTCGTGCTGCCAACTGTGATACCAGTCTACTTCTGGGGCGAGACTTGGACGAATGCCTTCTTCATCCCCACCATCCTGAGGTACACATGCGGTATCAACGTGGTATGGAGCGTCAACAGCTTCGCACACACCTTCGGATACAGGCCCTATGACAAGTAAGAGCTACTTTCATAATATTGTAGAGGTAAATATCTAGCCTTTTGTCCGTAGTTTTGCCCGCTGTACTTAATTATACGTGAGTTCAATTTCATTTTGAATCTTCCTGAAAAATCACTCTTTCCACTTTTTAAATACATGTCGGAAACGTCGAAGGAAACGGTAGTATCTAAAGAGAACTATTCAGTTTGTCCATATTAAAATATTGTATACGTATTCACAATAATAACAGTCAGTAAAGTAATGAAAGCTTATTACAAAAGATGGTAATATTACACTTGTTTGACATTTAGAATTATCTTAAGAGATGAGCGTGATCGCGTAACGACGATTTTTCTATCTACAACTTGTAGTTGCCCAATTGATTATAACATGCAATTTCAAAACTATTCGGCTAATAGCATACCTAGGAAAAGTAACTAGACGATCTTTAAGTCTATCTGGAAAAAGAATCAGTTTTACAATAGCTATATCTCCATAACCATTAGGTACTAAGAGAAATACCTACGTAAACACGATTTTCCCGCCGGAAACCAGGTCAGGTTATAAATAGACAGTCCCTAAGTAACCTAATCAGTTGGTGTCATCACTTTGAATCAATTACAGACAATAATGGTTCATGAATTATACATTACGATTAAGTAGAACTACAACACTAGCAATTGATTACACTGTTATTATTCCCAGTAATCCGATTAACGGTTCAGACGTTTCTATACTATATAATTATTGAATACGAAATGTTTGTTTGTTTCCCTTTAAGATGCTCCATTATAAGGACGGTAAAATAAAGGCGAACGTAGCCTCCTAAAACGACGACTGTGGCAGAATACACACACATTACTTCCGCCTTTATTACAACGTCCTTGCTTCAATACTTTTTTAATATTTCTGTGTCCAATACTACTGGATTGATTTTAATAAATCTTTGATAATTAGTTATCTTACCTACTTTTAGGGGTAATAACATAGATGTACTAACTTTATATTTATCTGTAGGCACTGACAATTACAATCCTCCATGAGATGTTACAAATATGTCTAGACGCTAATTTCTTTTCAAATTAATAGAAAAAGGAACACTTATGAACTCGGAAAACTAAAAATGAAAAAATCTTTTAATATTGTAATACTACGCGGGTGCAGCCACAGGCGGTGAGCTAGTTTTGAATGAATAGTTAATAGTATAGATAGATTAAAGTCTTACCTGTAATTAATTGTCGTTCATAAATTAAAGTTAAATTATAATACCTATTCTATCTACTTAGGTACAGGTACATTCTTAATTTATTGAAAATCATTCATCGATTATGAATGTATGATTGAGTGCTTCTTGATATACATTTTATTTTCCGATTTTCTTAATTTAATCAGAATAAAATTAAATGCAAGCTCCGAAAACTCAGTTGGTAGAATTGTAGAGTAGGTACCTTACATCTATCTATCTAAGTACCTACATTCTGCTGTAAAATACTTTTTCGTATCTTTAAACGGCCTTCGACCTCCATAAGACTACTCACGGTAAAGTAAAATTGTATACCTACGTTGGTACCTACTTATCAAATAGAGTGAGTCGTTAAAAGCATTTCAGACGCTTTGTAAGACTTCAAAACAAAAAATATGTTTTTCTCTTAGGTCACTGAACCCACGTGAAAACATCGGAGTATGGATGATCTGTGTTGAAGGCTTCCACAACTATCACCACACCTTCCCATGGGACTACCGAGCGACTGAACTTCCCCTGTATAACATGCTCACGCCGACGATCGTGTTCATCGACCTCATGGCAAAGGTATGTACTCATTGGGCCCCTTTTAACAAAGTGTACAGCAGAAAAATAAATAGGCACAACCCTTGCGCGGTCAGCCTCGGTAGGGTTGCCATACTTTATTTAAAATTAAAAAGCAAATAAGGCGGCAAAATTTAAAATATCACCGGCTGAATATTAAACTTTGGCAGCCCGATACCGACCTGATTGTGCGCTAGTAATAGCCACTTATTTCCTTGAACTATGCTGCTCGCAAAACTTTAACTTGGAGCTGGAACTTGTTATAAGATTTTATGGGTGGAAGTTTTAGTTTTGGCACCGAAATATCAAAACATGTTCTTATGGATCGTTGCATGCTTAAAATTACAATTATAATGTTTAGTATAAAACAGTGGAGGAAGAAAACGTACGTTTTCATTTACAATATTATCACAAAAATATCCATAAAATTAGTCTTCATTCATTTTTGGTTGCAAGGAAGAAAAAAGTAATGGTTTATGCAGAAAAATAATTCTAGACTTCTCAAAACAGATAAAAATTTTACTCAAACGAAATCATTAGGTACCTTCTTAAAAACTAATCCCAAAACTATCGTAGTCAATTGCTGTTGCACAGTAACCCAACACAATGCTACTATTCTCTTCACAGAACTTTGCTCTAATCACTCTTAAGTAACTTAAATAAATCATGAATAATTTCTTTTCTCCGCAGATCGGACAAGCATACGACTTGAAATACGTGTCCCCTGAAATTATAAAGCAGCGTGCACACCGTACTGGGGACGGTACACATCACCTCTGGGGCTGGGACGACCCTGAATTCACAGAGAAACTCAAAGAAAAATATGCTGCGGTTAGCCACAGTGAAGAAAATAGGAAGACAGCTTAATTTATTTCTCGTTCTCCATTTATTGTTAATGAAGACTGTAATACTTACTCAATAAGGGTGATATCTGATCATTGTAATGTAAGCAAATATAATAAAAATAATAATATGTACAAAAAATAATGTTCCACTTGTATTTTTCCGTGGTAAAATGTATTTTCCTTGTGAAATAACGAGTGGACTTTCTTTATCCGCCTTGTGTTATCGGCAAGCTACAATAGAATTTGCGCCCTATCAGCTCCATACATAAATGAGTAAAATGAAACAAGCTTGAAATCTTTTTCCAATGGTTCGCAGCTGGCACCATCGTAAGCGATAAGCGAAAATCGATATTGGCCTCTTCCATTAGCGAGGTATAATTAATGCAATGCAATCGTGTGCTTACAAGTGGAGTCCGCTGGCGACAGTTGTAAATAATAAATTAACCGCATCTTTACCTATAAACTCGAAGAACAGCTGTTGTGGAGCTTGTGAGATGTCTATCGTTAATTTTTACCTAGGCAGGTACGAGTTCACTTTATTTTATATAATGTTCAATTCGTTTACCTGTTAAAAGTATTTTTATTTATTAAAAAGACAATTCGGACAAGTGATTTATAACCGCTGAGACGCATAAACTAAAACAAAATATATAAAAGACCTAAAACTACGGAATTAGTACTCATATTAATAAACACTGAACAGTTTGATTTATCTGTATCGCCACATAGCTAAACGGTTAAAAAATATCATTATATGTAGGTACGTACAATACCTACATAGGTACTACCTACTATGTTAAGCAATGTCCACATCAAGCTCTTCAATCATCATATTCATCAGATTGAAGGGCAAGCAAGGGTAAGCAGGGTTACATATCAACGTAACCCGCTCACCTCATAACAAAACGATTCTGTTGTGGGTTCCACTTTTTTCTTTTTCGATACTTGCATCAAACTCTATAAAACATTTAAGCACATCCATTCTTTTATTTGCCCAAAAATATTTGGAACCCTGCTTAAAAGTAGATTTAACATTTAATGAGTCCACCACTAACATCTACGAGCTATTCGACTATTCGACAACTCGGTTAAAGCGGTGGCTGGGCAACTGGCTGCCATGCAACGAGTCGCGGGTTCGATTCCCGCACGGAGCAACTCTTTGTGTGATCTACGTTGTGTATAAAAAAAGCTATTAGATGGTGTGATATTGTGCTTCTGTAGGTTTTGGTAGATCAATACAAATAAAAATACAGAATTAAATTATATATTAATATGTGGAGACTGAGAGACTCGTAATGTAAATTCCGAGTAAATTTATACATTTATTTTCGACATTTTTTAGATTACGCCAAAACCACTTTTTCATTATTTTAGCATCTAGCAGTATTGCGAACATTCTGAACGCAAGCTATGGTTTTATAACACTAGCAACACATCAACTCAAAGACAAATGTGAGAATGACACTGACACTTACAAATCTATGACATATCTTCCGATCTATGTCAAAGTCAAAATACGCAACATCAACAAATAGCGAAAATATTATGCTAAAGTTCTATTTTTCTGTAAACAGTAATAATTAGATTGTGTATCTTACTTAGTCAGTCTATAGGAATCCTTAAGTAAAGAAGACGGTATAAGTCCAATCCAAACAAGTGGTGTGCAAAACGAAAACATTCCTTAGAAGTACCAAAATGTTATCGTCACTGATTAAAGAACATCAAGTAAAACAAGCTTCAAAAAGAGTTATACAAGGTAACTATTGCTGTACTTATATACTTAACACAATATTAACAACTGTGGCAGTACTGCTTGATTAGAGGCCTTGTCTACATGTTATGAGGGTTTACCATAATCTTCACTTGGCTTGTTAGGTGTATACACATGATTGATTATTTGTAAAGAAACTAACATGACTCGTTTTATAATTACAGAACAAAAACGAAAAGAATGTATAGCAGCTGCAAATGATTTGACTCAAGCGCTTGTTGACCATCTAAATGTGGGGTATGTATAGTACTCGTAGTTTTAATGTCCTCTAATTTGTTTGTGTCTCTGTGGACAATTTAATAATCATATGTAAGTGAATCAATACTCTTATTCCTGTAGACGAACATGAACAAAATTAAATGTTGCATCTATATTTAGTTATCAGTCGCACATAATATGAGGCAATACCTTAGACAAGCCGCAATCCTACCAAACAATTGTATATCTTTAAACATATCATATCTTTTTTACAAATAATGTGGTACGCAATAAATTAAACATGGTTTTTGTTGACTATTACAGAGTGGCCCAAGCCTACCTAAATCAAAAGAAATTAGATGCTGAAGCAAAACTACTGCACCAGGGTGCTATCAACTTTGCTAAGCAAACACAACAATGGCTAGCTCTTGTAGAAAACTTTAGTAGTGCCCTCAAAGAAATTGGAGATGTGGAAAACTGGGCGAGAAGTATTGAGAATGATATGAAGATTATCACAGATACATTAGAAAGAGCTTACGAAATGACACAAGAACAACCAACTAATGCTAGCAGCACTAGTACTAGTAGTAACCAATAATCCCTCTTTCATAAGTAGAAAAATCATTCCTGTTTTGTTTATCAATATTTATAGTTATTATTATAATAATAATAATAATAATATCTGGCAACACTACAAACGTCAACTTGTGAAAATTTTACTCTGCTTTTATATAAATAATTTATACATATTCCTTTCTGTTTTCGTTTCTTCTAATATTTATCAACAATAGAAAAACCTTTTTGTTTTATAATAATACGCCATAATTTTACAATACTGTAAACTAAGAAGAAAATATTAAAAATGAAAATGACAATGACAGAATCAACAACTTCAAAAATAAATCTAATAAAGCAATCGTTTGATTAACAATGTTGACGAGAGCCAGATGCAGACAAGACGCACCCCCACCACCTCCGGACTCGTCGCTCAGCTCCGCCTCGCCATCACCGGAACCCCGCTCCGCTGGATCGCCGGTGACTGCAGTTGCGTCGAGCTCGAGCGACGACTATTTCTCCCCACCTACGTCGCCACCACCTGTACGTCGGCCGGGGAGAGGCCGGCCACCGACTGGCTTGGGAACCAGGGGCCATCAGGCCCTGGGACGGGTCCCCGCTACCGGTGGTTGTGTGCGGCGCATGAAATGGTCTCAAACCATAAATGAGAACGTCATGCGCGCATACTACGGTGCTACAGAGGGAGGAACTAACCTCACGGCGTACCGCGAAAGGATGCTGTCTATGTTTCAGGTGCTTGAACCATCTGTCAACGTCTCGGCCCAACGACTGTCGGATCAAGTGCGGGTTATCCAACGCAATTGCAGATTGGATGAGGCTACACTTGATCGGCTACGCCTTGAAGCACTGCGCAACCGTGTCGTCCCCGCACCACCACAATTGGTGGCACAGACACCTGTAGTGTCACAATGTGTGACATCGACCACCCCTATCGTTGGAGTGGAGGACGATAGGGTTGAACAAGTGAGTACTCAGTGCAATGAACGTCTAAGGAGTGCTTTGGAGGATGCGGTTCGTGAGTACAGACTTGCTCCTAGTGATTTACGACCAAAATTACCACGTTTGCCCATGTGTAGGAAAAATAGGGCGCTGGTGAGCGCCTTGGATTCGCTACTTAAAAAATATTTTGAGAGTAGCGAAAACCTCTATGATACACACTCGATCTTGTACTGTGGGGCGGTTGCTGCTTGTCGAGTGGCTAACGTAAGATTCCCAAATCTTGACGCAGCAGTCCGACCAAAACCAGCAGTACCTGCCTGGCAGTATAGGATAGAGCGTCGTATCAGTGAGGCCAGGGTACTCATTGGCAAACTATCCTGCTTCAGGGAGGGCAATACTCGTCCTAGAGTGATGCGCTTTGTAAGACGTGCATTTGTGGGGACTGAAACCAGTCCTCATGAATACCTGTCACGTGTTACAGAGCGCATCGACTTCCTGAAGCAGAAAGTTTATGCATGGGCAAACCGTAT